GACTATTAAATCAGTCGTCGACGATTTTGATAGTCGACGTAATCGTGACTAGTCGACAAATCGTGGCAGCCCTACTTCTATGTGCAAAATATTTAGCAGTAACTTAAAACAGTTTGTTTTATGTGTTTATTTTTAATATCAAGAACGACGTGGATAATTTCTACATTTGCATTTGGGTGTATTATTCTGTACCTGTCAGTCAACCCAAACAGCTGCTTAACACACTGAATTTAGTAATGTTGTATATTTGTCCTCACAGCAACATTTTACAGTTCAAACCGTTGACAGTTGGCGCACACCGGTTAGTGATGTCATTTCTGAAGCAAATAACGCTTTATTTTTCCTAACATATAATTTGATTGCAGTTGTACATGACAAACGATGAATAGACATGGCTGGATATTTGATTAATTATTGCCAGGAGTGGGAATCAGTCTTAACTCAAGATATGACAGTAATACGTAGCCGATGATAATAATAATGCTATGATTACACAGTGATTCTGTAATAGTCAAAACATTGCAGCTGATTCTTTACGGTATTGTGACACAATTATCTGTGATATTTACTCAGATAAAAAAACAGATTTTCTATGGCAACCTCTAAAGGGGGCAGATGAAAGAAGAGGGTTTGACCTGTCGTTTAGCTGGACTGGAAGCAGCATTACTTTTTATTTCCTTATATTGTCAGAGGGAGTGTGTAATGTGGAATATATACTGTATATTAATCATTGCTGTGGTTTCTCTGCATGTATGTAAAGTACGCCACACTCCCTCTTTCAGAGCTTCTGTCATAATTTATAGTTTTTGCATGAAATGTAAAATTTGCATTGTGTTTACATATTTTTCTCACTGAAATAACAAGTTTATTTCCCCCTTTTTAGCATGTTTCACTTGCACAGTTTGGCATTAACCTCTGGTGGGTCAGCTGACACATCTTTGGGTTGGCTTGTTCTACTATGTGGATTTCAGCACCTCACAGCCTTCATGAGAGATCCAGCTGGAATGACTCATGTGTTGGTGGGGATGGTGTAGGCTACCAAAGTTAGTCTTGCCTCAAAAATAGATTAAATAAGAAAGAAATTAAAGCCACATTAAAAGAGAAGGCTGCTGTTTAGAAACGAATGAAGCCGTGTATCAGCCCCTGTTGACAGCCATTGCTGCCCATTTATTTCAGCATTCAGCAAATTTAAAACCTTAAATTTCCACCCAATTATTAATTAATGAACCACCCAATCGGTCTCAGCTGCAGAAATCCTGGTCCACTACAGCCCTGTTATTCATTGAAGGGAAGGGATCTAATGAAACAAGCGATCCTAGTCTTTCAGGGTTTTTGTGATACTTGTTATCATCACAAGCGCACAAGGATGGCTTTATATTACTGTTTGCGCATTAAGCCTTTACTAACCTGCATATTTCTAAATCTGTTTTCTCTTAATCACTAGGGAGATGTTGGATCTTCTCGTGCCTCAACGTCATGCGACTGCCCTTCATGAAAAAGTTTAACATAGAAGAGTTTGAGTTTAGTCAGTCCTATCTATTTTTCTGGGACAAGGTAAGACACACAGTAACACCACATATTGGTTATGGTTGTGGGCTTTTTCACTCCTTTACTATTATTATTATTTTGGTACATTTCGGTGATGTAACATTCTGGTAAATGGATGGTTTTTGTTGTTTTGGAGTTGGGACACTGTGTGTGCATGCATGTGCCACTGGTGTGGTGTTATTATGCTGCACCTTTTCTACTATACAGTCATTGTCCCACCTAAAACCCCCTTTTGTGCGTTGTTGTCAGTGCTCCACCCGGACCAACGTCACGGTGACTCCTTGTTGATTTTTTTTTTTTTTTTTGATTTTTTTTTTTTTTTTTTTTTAAAATGCCGTCATCTCTCTCTTTTAAACTGTGTGTATTTTTAGCAGGCCCATCATAAACACACCCCTTCTTTGTGGCAGGTGCCAGATATGGGAGCTTCAGCTACTGTGGTATTAGTAGTAAACAAAGAAACAGTAAAACTCTCCTTAAGTTATCAGCTATTGCATTAGATTTTTAACTAATTTCAATAAAGTCTTAAATGAAAACTAATTTTAACAAATTACAGTTGATGACAGTAGCTCTTTAAATATGTAATAAGTCTAATGATAGCTGAACGATGCCTCTCTGGTACCTTTTTTTCTTCTTCTTTGGTTTTGTTTCAAGTCTCATGTGGTCGACTGTCTACTTTGACAGTCTCTGTTTTTGTTGTTATCTCTCAGATCGAGCGTTGTTACTACTTCCTTCAAGCCTGTGTGGAGACGGCACAGAGGAAGGAGCCAGTGGATGGACGCCTGGTCCAGTTTCTTCTCTCCAATCCAACAAATGATGGAGGGCAGTGGGACATGCTGGTCAATCTCATTGGTTAGTTCTTATCATTGCACAGTGGTTCATGTTAAGTTCATTGAATAACCTGTTCAATGAACTTAACATTGAATAGGTTAAAAATAATATATTAATTTTAATATATAAAATTAACTAGAATAGTGATCCCCAGTTAATTTCATACTGGAAAGTGAGCTTCATTGGATTTAAAATCTCTGGCCTGTTATTGTCTTAAAAATAATATTATTTTTATTATTTAATTAATTTTTTTAATGTTGTGCTGTCTACAGAGAAGTATGGCGTCATTCCAAAGAAATGCTTCCCAGAGTCACACAGCTCAGAGGCCTCACGCAGAATGAATGACATCCTCAATCATAAGGTACTTTTGCACACTTCCTTCAGTTCAAAGCAAACGGAGCTCACATATGTGTCCAGCTAGAAGTCTCATAATGCCAATGAGCCCATCCTGACTGTTTACCTCATGATGTGTTGCAGCTGAGAGAATACTGCCTAAGACTGAGGAACATGGTGGCCAGCGATGCCAGTAAAGGCGAACTGTCTGAAGCTATGGACAGCATGATAGAGGAGGTGAGACTGAAATCGCATGTGCAGTTTCTTTGTTTGCTTGTGTTTTTCTCAGAGCACTGCAAACTTTTATAGGATCACAGTTTGTGTTTGAACGAAGGAACTTCTGAATAAACGTGGGACCTCTAGAGCCAGGCAACTGCTCTAGAGGTCCCACGTTTATTCAGAAGTTCCTTCGTTCCTCAAAGTGTGCTACTTCCCAAAAATTCAGGAACTCTAAGGGCTGAGTTCACCTGGCTGAATGCCCAGGCTCTTTGCTAGGTGGCAGCGTCATATACCCTCTCAGCTACCCCAATACCTCCAAAAATAATTTTTCAGGTAAAAACAAAAAATACAAATGCTTAACCAATAGAAGAGTGTGTGAAAAGCCATTGTGAGTTCTCAGGTACATTTTACTGACGAGTTGTGTGTAAGCTCCGGTTCCAGTCCACAGCTCTAATTTTTTCTTTTCACTCAGTGTTATTTCTTCTTATTAATTGATCAAGCTTCATTCATCAGCAGATTTAAAGACATGGGTTTGAGGGGGTTCTCATCTTTAGTTGATCAGAGTTGTGACAGGTGGACAGATTTGATGGCTGCAGCAGTGGAAATAAAAGCAGAAGGGTGTAAAAGAGAGCAGAAGTTGGTAGTTCTGTTGTAGTTTTAGAAACGGGAAGTAAGACCTGCAGAGACACAGAAGTGTTGAAAGCGAATGGAAAATGTGCAGCTCTTGTAACATTGTTCCACTTTTACCAGAAGAGGGAGCTGTCAAATAATACATAACTGAGATGCTCAGAGCAGGCTATATGTATTCAGTGTGTCTATGAACAATTATTGTTAGATTAAACATTACCTGGTGATGTGTTCAATTTCTATATGAAGTTGTCAGCAACTTTAAATTTATTACAAAGCAATAGTTCCAGTTTGTGACATCTAGTATGTAGGTATCAAAATTTCCCAAGTCCAATAAGAGAATTTGAGATTTTTAAATTCCAATGATAAATAATTGGTTTTATAGAAATGCAGTTATAATATCCCAGCGCTATAGTTAAACATCAGTGCACGTTGCAGAGACATGCATTTGCAGACAAGGTAAAGGGAGAACACAATACTCTGTCAGAGTTGAGGCTCAGGTGTGAAATGTATGGTTTTTAATCGGTTTTCAGCGTTATTTTGTTATCGTTTTTATCGTTAACTCGGTTTTCCTGGGTCTTTTCACGTGTGTTATGAATAAATCTTCTAATTTTACTAATTTTATTTTGTTGTATTTATCCGCGACACTTTAAAGGGTTAAAAAATAAAAAAGTAATAATTATTTTATATTTATGGAAAGAACTGAAGTTACTTAAAAGCTTTATGCAAAAAAAAGGCAAAAAACCAAAAATAATAAAGAATTACAGACCTAATCTGTAGGTGGCCACTTGTGGCCACGAACAAGCTGAAAGGGTGGTGTTTTTGAACAAGGCCTGAGGGTTAAAGGCCGGTTCGTGAAAATATTGTCGGGCATAAACCGGTCCGTGGTGCCAAAAAGGTTGGGGACCGCTGCTGTATGTTTAAAAAAAGTAAACAAAAACAAATGCATTTCTGTTGGCTCCAGGCTCATAACACTGACAACATCTTGTTTACAAATGATTAAGGAAAGGTTTCCCTTAAATAGAACCAGACAAATGTTGGCATTTGTCTGCCGATGCATGATGACTTTTGTTTTTCTTACAGTGCTCATTCACATTTGACTTTTTGTAAAGGCAGTAAATGCATCTTGGGCCTTTTTTTATTTTATTTTTAAACTTTCTCTAATGTGCAGACAGTGTTTTGACCTACATTTTGTGTTTGTGTCCATTCACCTGCACACTACCTCTCATGTGACAAAGTTGCTGATAGTGATCTTGTTTATGGAACAGTCCGACGTCTAATGCTGGACAGTGATGCTGGTTTACCTCAAAGAGACAATACAATAAAAGGTGTGCAGGCACATGTAAACAAACACATGCAACACGTCATGAGCATAACACGTGTTTAAGGGGGACTACATGTGGTACACAGTGTGCTTGCGTGTGTGCTTTCTGAACACTGGGCAAGTTGCACTATGTAGGTGTGAAGCTTTATTCACGGCTCTTGTGTATGTGGGTGGGTCAATCGATCAATCAGTCAAGCTTCCGTTGAGACAATTGGGTCCGGTTAAGCAGCTTTTGTTGTCAGCTGTTAGGTCGTTTTGTGCTGCTGGCTGTTTGCTTGTTTAAACAGTCGCTCGGTGGATGCCCAGCCATCAACACAAAGACATGTACATCCACAAACACATGCTGTGCAAGAGTAAAGATGGAGGACCGGGTGGGAGGACAGAGGTTTGTCAGCATGTTTGTATGTACACCTGGAAGTGTTTTGTTTTGTGAGGCACCACACTCATTTCTTTTTATTTATTTTTTACAAAATGGAACCAAATTATTCTGATCGCAGTTCATAATGGGATGCTCCCAGCAAATGCAATAAGGGAATAAATGTTAAATTTCTTTAAACTTTTATTCTGTGAATGGGGTTATACCATAGTTTCTGTATTTGATCATAAGTCTTCTCCATGGTTTGCTGAGATTAGTAATGAGTTTTGCTTTCACCATCATAACAGACATTTGTTTGGATGGTTTACTTGAAGTGTTGAGGTTCCTTTTTTTAATTTATTGCTTATCAGACAAAATTGTATAATGATTCTTATATCTATCCATCCATCCACGTGTCCAGTTCATTGATTATGTTTAAACGATTAGTCAACTAATAACTTTTAACGTCATTGGGTCAGCACATGGGTTATCACTCGCAGAAAGAAGGTCCTGGGTTCGTATCCGCCACCTGGCTGAGGCCTTTCTGTATGTAGGTATGAGGGCATGTTGTCCATGGGTTCTCTCAGAGTACTCTGGCTTGTCCTACAGTCCATTCACCATTAGCCCTGGGACAGATTGGCACCCTGTCAAGGGTCTACCCTGCCTCTGCCTCGTGACAGCTAGGATTGGCCTCATCCCCATGTTGCTGTAGCTTTAACAACATTCCTAAATAGTAACTGTAAATTAGGATCAAGATGTCAAACCTTCGATGACAGACATTTTACCAGAGGCTTTGCAGCCAGTTCACAATACCACCATCCAAGCCAATAGTGAGCCCAAGTTCATGCAGGACAGGCAGGCTTTAAGAAACCTGTGTTTAAGATTAAAAATTCACTGTTTATTTCATCTCGTTTAGAACCAAAACAGTGTTTGTGGACACAAGAACCCTGTGTACCTCCAGACTTCTGTCTGAAAACACAGTGTTACTGCTGCATGTTCATGTGGATTTACATCCATGTGTGCACACGTGTTTCTCAGGATTAAAGTGATGCTGTCCACCCGCCAAACGTGGCAGCTGCGATTGTGCCCTGGTCTTCATCACCAAGCCCCACACACAGTCCCGTGACAGAAACCCTGGGTCGCTGCTTCTGCTTCCACTTACTGTACCTGGGGTGTGCTTGATTTGAATGAATCTCTTTGCGTGTGAAGAATCAAGTCTTGTGTGTGCGTGTTAACACTGCTCAAGCACATTGACTCAAACCACATAACATTTATTTAAGAACCTTGGCAAAAGAGCCTTAACCCACTTCATAATGCACCTGCAGAAACGGCGTTCAAATCACCGCCGTGCGCTGACAGTTTGTCGTTATTGCTGCTAGGATTCCTGTGTCCATACATGCGTTGTTGAGGCAGCCTTCTTCTTTCATGCTCTCTCAGATGTGCATCGGGGTTTCTCTTCTGTCACTTGTGTGGACAAGTAGACAGTACAAAGGCACAATCACTGGAAACTATACATGCACATGCAGCACTTCACACACATGAAACATACACAGATGGTATTCCTCACGCCACCACCGTACCCTTTCCATGCTCCATTGCGTCATGGAATCAGAAACACCATGTGCGGCTCTGCTCTTGGCTCTGAATACAGAGAGAGATTCTTAAGACAAGTCTAATTTACGAGACAGCCATCAACTCGCAGAGGAACCCTCTTACCACAGCTCACACACCCTGCGCTGCAGGCTGTTGGCTCAGTTGATTTGTTGTTCGATGTGGGTGGGTTCCTACATATGTCTTTGTTACCGGCTGCAGTCGTTGCAGCCTCAGAATAGCCACTTTAGAGTTGTCCACCCACATTTCTTGAATTTTTTTTTTTTTCATGCACAATTGCAGGAATTTAATTAACAATGCCCACATGTGTTGCATGTTTACAAAACATGGAAGTTTAATCAAAACCTCACTCATTTTTATCCAAACTGTTTGCATGGTGTCATTTGCTTACACTCACAAGTCCAGCTTCTAGACAATGGTTATAAATTTATGTCAGAGTAACAACGAGGTGCATGGTTTTCCTCAATTCGGCAAATTGTGCCAATCCAAGAACATTTTCAACCATCAAATGTATGTTTTAACCCTTTACTCCATAAAGATGACTTTTGACGCCCTCCTCTGTATTGTTAACGAAGAGATTTGACACTTGGATGTAAATGTATATCCATAAAGACATGGTTTCTATTCAATGACCATTAAAATAGGGATACGGATTAGTACCAGTAAAGCTGATCACCCTCACTAATTTCTGATGCACACTCAGTCATTTTGTTCTGAAAGCAGGCCTGATATGACAGAAACCGCTCAGTTTGTTTTTGAAGCAGAAACAAGGATTGCAAGTTAAATCTGTTGCTATAGCATGTTACAAATGTGGAAGTATTGACGGCTAAATAAATTTTTTTTGTGGTTTTTGTACCAACTTTTGTGAATTATTCTTAAACTGCAATGATATTAAATGTGTAAATTGCTTTTTAATCACTTCTTTCAGCTTTTGTGTACGTTTTACTAATTCGAGCCAACTCGGGCCAGTGTCTTCAACACTGGAGCGCAGATGCTATCAAGCATTAGCCAGGGTTAGCCCCAATAGCGTGCATTCGGCTCATTGTTTGTACCAAGACATGCAAACTCACTATGTCACAGAATGGAGACAGACCTGAGGTGGGTCTTCCGCTACAGACTGATGAGCTGAAAAGAAAGCCGCATGTTGACAAACTCCATCATAATCACTTACAACAGCTGGTTCCTGAAACCTGTTAACAGTTCAGATGTTTAGAATATTAAGATATGAATGACATGGCTGTTGAAGTTAGAATCTAAACACGGATGGAGCCCTGCAGATTTTTATGAACAACGCATGTTGGGTTTAGGAAAGAATCGAGGGGCTTTGGCTCGGATCATTGTAAACTGTCTCAAAATAGGAATTTACAAATCTTTAGACAGTTTAACTCACTGAAGAGGTTTCTGAGAGTCAAATTAGAAAAAGCTTGCAACTTGGAGTTGTGGAAATTAATTTCAAACCTACTCTGACATTATCAAATCAGACACATTACATTGAAATGTGAAAGAGAGAGCCCAATATTTTGCAAACTTGCTATTCTGTATCCCCCCCACCTGTCCCTCTTTCCCTATCACACATGCATGTCAGTCACCGAGGCAGCAGGTGTTTCTTTATTGATCCTGTTCTCATGTCATTGTCGCTGTTTATTCTCTTGACTAAGGTCTCCTCTCCTCACAGTCGCTTTACTTACATTGCCAGGTCCGACGAGAATGTACAAGGCTGGTGTTAAGGGCGACACTTGCTGTATGTGTCAGGGCATCAGAAAGAAGAAAACTGCAAAGCAAGTGGAAATGTTTCAATTTGTCAGGAGAGATTAAATGCAGGAACTGGAGGAAAAGGGAGTAGAGCCCGACGGGTGTTTTTTAAGACCTAGCGAGTGGATGGACACCCTGGTGTGTCCTCCTGCCCACAGAGCAGTCTAAATAAAGTGGCTGAATTGGGTAGTTCGGAGGTGTGGGGAGCTTAAGCAGATGCTTTTGTTGACTCAGCGCAAGTGTGTATTTTTGTGTGCGTCTGTATTTTTGTGACTTTACGCATTTCTGTAACAAAGAGGGGATTGGTTTGTTTGTTTAAGACTGGCCTGAATTTATGCCTTTTTTTCCACTATGTGACCATTTCTGGAGTGGGGCTCCTACATTCTACTTTATATAATGGGATATTTTAAAATGTGTGTAAAGGTCAGGAAAGCGCTGCCACAGGAGCTAGGTTTCCTTTAGTCCTTTAACACACACACTGAAGCGATACATTGCCAAGGCAATGTGTCACTGTCTAGTGGCCCTCTTTTTATCTGTGGCGAATAATGGTCTCGATACAATGATTAATTTCTCAGTCCCTTATTAATCATATTTCATAGGAAAAGTATGTGCTCCGTCTTGGGAAAAGAACAGAGGATTGGAGTATTGAAAAGCTTAAGGGGGAAATTCCAGAGATAGCTATATCAGGGGTTAGGAGGGCCAAATTGACAGACGGCCCAGTCCAAACAACCTGATTTAGCCCACAAGAACTCACTCTGAACTTCTGCACTGAAGGAAGACGCACATGGCGGAAGGGCAAAGGGGTGTGTGTGCTGCAAATGGAAAAGAATGGAAGCGCAGCAGTGGGAAAATGCAGGGATAATTGGAAGAGGTCTTGGTACTCATCAAGGGTATGCAGGGATGGACAACAGATGTTTGCAAATTAGGAATATTGGATATACAGGCTCAAGTGAAAGCGGTGGCTCCCTCCGTCTCTGTAGTTGAGGTGAATTGGTAGGAATCTCTGCTTGCCTTATTAAAATGTAGAGTTTGCTGAAATGTGCCATGTTTGCTTTAAACTGTCTACAAATGCTAAATAGACTTTAAAGCCAAACCTTTATCTAAACTGTCTTTGTGCTGTGCAGGTTTTCCGAGTGGCCAGTGTTTGTCTAGGCAGCCCTCCTGAGACCATCTGTTGGGAGTACAGGGACAAGGATAAGAACTTCAATCGCATGGGACCGCTCACTCCTCAGGAGTTCTACAGGAAGCATGTGAAACCCCTATACAACATTCAGGACAAAGTAAGTGACCCCCTTGGACACCACAGATGGAGAGCCTGTAGGTTTCTGTGGTCTTTGTGTAGCTGTAGAAACTCTGATCTTGTGTGGTTATTTCCTCTATCCCCAGGTCTGCCTTGTAAATGACCCTCGACCCCAGAATCCTTATGGAAAGCTGTACAGTGTTGAGTTCTTGGGTAACATGGTTGGTGGTCGCAGCACTCTGTACAACAACCAGCCCATCCAGCTACTGAAAAAAGCTGCAGCTGAGTCCATAAAGGATGGAGAGGTACGTTGGCACAAGTGGGCACAACTCCAGGCACAGATGTGTGCACAACTGTGATTATTGTTTTGGGTTTTTTTTTTCTTTCCACCCATCTTAGGCTGTGTGGTTCGGTTGTGACGTTGGGAAACATTTCCACAGCAAGCTGGGCATTAATGACATGAATGTGTGAGTATAACTGAAGGATGTCCAGTGTACAGTATATGAACAAATCTCCAACAAGTGTTGAAGTAGGGATTTATCTTAAGATAAACTTTGGCATACCAAAGAAAGAAACTGCATTTTTCTCCCTTCTCTTACACTTAAGGATTAGAGGAACAGCGGGAAAATCTGTTTTGCTCACTTGACTGTGGTAAAGGTATCTTTAAAAAGCCTTAACAACAAAGGGAACTATTTTTATCTGTGCCACATCTTCATTTGACCGGACCAGACAGCATCTGCCTTTTTGAGGTGTCCGTCTCCCCACGCAGGAAAAGTGCCCATCTTTGCCCTTCAGGTGCAGCAGCAACAGCATCTGTGTCTGAGTTGTTGGCGCCAGGCTTAAATTTGCCCGCTGAACCAAACCAGCATGGTGCCGAATGTCTGGTTTCATCTGCACTGAAGCTCATCTTTCACACAGATCTCTTCTTGTAACAGTACATTATAACTGGAATGAGGCTGAGGCTTAATGTGGCCTCATTTCTAGACAGACATGCTCAAAGTGGAAATGAAACAGCGGGCTGCCTTTTTAGCTGCAAAATCCCAGCTTATGAAGGCAGCGTGTTTTGTGGCTTTTTATGGTCATTACATCTCTTCCCACTGTTCCTGTCAGAAACAGATTTTATTATTGTTAAAACATGACAAATCACAAATGCAGTAAACCATTTCTTGTCATAAGTGTGTAGAGGAGCTGGAGTTATCACATGATTTTGTGCATTTCATACAGGTTCAACCATGAGCTTGTGTTTGGGGTTTCAGTGAAGAACCTTTCAAAGGCAGAGAGACTGATATATGGCGACTCTCTCATGACCCATGCAATGATTCTCACCGCTGTCACAGACAAGGTACACTCACACAATCATGCAGTACAGGTATGTGACTGTTTGGTACACTCGTGTGTACATGCAGTACTTATACAAACTGTCCAGCGAGAACACACACACTCAGAATTTCCCAAGGTTTATTGTATGAAAGTCTTGCCGTGTGTTTACACTGCTTTAATCCGCTGCAGTTTTTTTTGTAGTGCTGTCAATTCCCCCCTTTTTAAGTAACCCCAGCTGTCAGGACACTTTCTTTCCTCTTGTCTCACTGTTATCTCCCATTGTCTCTTGTTCTCCTTCTGTCTCTCAGGATGGAAAAGAAGGCTATGAAAAGTGGAGGGTGGAAAACTCCTGGGGTGACGACCGTGGCAACAAAGGTAACACGAAACCCTCTTGCTGCAGAGCAGAAGCCTGATTTCTTTGATGTGACGCTGATTGTCAGATGTCAGCCTCTGGTCGGGTGATTAAACTGTCATCTTCCTGTTTGTGTTCCTTAAATTAAAAACAGGGTCTTGAACTTGTAATTGGTTATGTTCCTCTTCACCACAACAGAAACGCAGGGGGCCTTTATTTAAAATAAAAATAAAAATAATAAGAGTTATGAAATTTACAGATCTTAAGTTTGACACAGATTATGCGTGTTTATTCAAAAAAGGAATTTCTGCTATTGGCTTCTGTCTCATAATTGTGTGCAAATATCTGCACTTCTGCAGGGCAGGTTATAGCAGAGGAAATAAGGAATGTTAGATAAAGCAACACAGCTCACAGGCAACAGTTTAATCTTTCTTTTTGGACTCGAGTCAGGAATGTCAGGCCCTTTGTTGGTCAGCGCTGAATATTTAGGGGCCAAACTATCAGCTAAAGCTAGCTTGACTGTATGTGTGCTTCTCAGGCACAGCTATCAAAAATAGTAATTTCCCAAACATAGGAAATTTCTCATTATTGTCTCAGTATCTACTAATATTAAGTAACGCATATAAAACAGAATTTGACTCGCCAAATGTGGAGAACAGTCTCCTTGGACAGACTTACTATGCTCAAACATCCAGCAGGCTGACTTATCTGTCAGATATTTTTTTTTTTTTTTTACATAAATCTCCAAACACCAGCATAATTTTAATGCATTTTAATATACAGTGCCATGTATAACTAATGTCCATTAGTCTTAGGGGGGCTGTGACCTATCCCAGCTGTCGTAGGGTGAGAGGCAGGGTACACCCTGGACAGGTTGCCAGTCTGTTGCAGGGATACCAGATAGACACAGACTACGTCCACAGTAGCCCGGACAGATTTGAAAACGGCCCGCATCCACACTAGCACATGACTAAAATGCGTTAGAAAGTCTCCGTGGGCCAATTTAGTTACCAGTTAACATAACGCCACTAACTGCATGTCTTTGCACTGTGTGAGGAAGCCAGAGTGCCCATGCAAAACATGGGGAGAACATGCAAACTCCACACAGAAAGACGCTGGCCTAGTGGTGGAATTGAACTCAGGACTTTCTTGCTGTGAGGCAACAGTGCTGAATACAGGCCCAGCAGTTAGGCATCCAATTGGAAATGGGATGAAATATCCATACCAGCACATGTGATTATAAAGCACATTTTAATGTGCTTTATAAAGTTATTAGAGCTAAAGGTAAACGTTAAAAATAGCTTCTACTATGCGTCTCTCTAAGGTCTGAAATGTTTCAAAGTGTGTTTTGGTCCTCAGCTGTTGACATGGAGACCTTTTGATTGTCTAACACACCAGAAGCGTACAAAGAATTTCAACTTTTGAACCACGGTTTATTTTTTAGTGGTCTAGTTGTTTTTTGTTTTATTTTTAAACCACATATTAGATTTAATTTTGATAACCTGAGTCAGTCATGGAAAACTGTAGGGTGTCTGTCATTAAGTAGGTTTGGCGTCCTTTATGCAACAGCCCTCCCAACACAACAGGTCCTCCACACCACTGCCCCAGATGACTGTTGCTATGCCCACTATTTTATTTATTTATTTTCCTAATCTTCCTCTGATCTTCTCTGCCTTACCGCCCTGTTACTGAGCTTAGGCTTCCACTCCAAATGATGGGAGAGTATTTAAGGTCAGTGGTGGATCGTCTCATGACACACACACACAGACATACAGTACAAGATGTACACATAACGAGACGCACACTTACTCTCAATATTTGCTTGAACCCACAATCCTTAGTGACTGTTGAGAAAACATGTGAAAACCCCTCAGTCAAATGAAGTGTTTTTCATGCATATCTTATTCCATAAACACCAGCAGATGAGGGGAGGCCAGGGCCCCCAGCCCCTCCACAGCCAAATTAATAAAGTTTTTCTTTTGAAAAGAAAAGTCTGAGAAGTGGAGTTCACTGGGTAATCTGGAGGCTATGTTTGTTTGACAAAAGCTGAGGGGAGAAAAGAAGGGAAGTAGATGTGGAGGCAATTTGGGGAAAATGACAAAGAACTGAAGAAATTAAAGAATAGTGAACAAAAGAAGGAAGCCAAGAAAGAAAGTGCTCGTAAGATTTATAAGACTTGATGTCTCCCTTTAGTCTTTTAATATTTCTTCTAACCATAAAAGGATCTCTCAGGAGAGTTTTAACTTTCCGTTTCCTCCATCTTTAATCCTTCAAACAGACGTTGTTATGACTCTGCTCACTTTACAACTCGAACTTTTTACACCGTTTAAGAGTAATATTTTGTCTCAATCGCTGAGAGTTTAATATGGGTTTAAGGATTCTGTAGTTTTGTTATTTTCACCCAAACGGTTATCTGCTCTTTCGTCCTGTAAAGGAAACTAACATTTTAAATTTATAAAACTGCTTTTTACACTATGAAAGAGCCCAAGTGTTTAAATAAATAAACAAATAAATATAATTTTAATATCCATTGATCCATTTATTCTTTTCCACTTGATCATTAATTTATGCTGCAAACCTACAGAAGCTGAAATGACCTTGTTGAGTCTACACAAGTGGCTGACTCCACTGCACACATTTATACTTGTGCACTGCTCTGCAATTTCACCACCAAAGTTTCTCTCTTTTGAGTCGACCCATAGAAATATGCATTGGAAGAAATGACAGTTCTGAATGGTCGGTCATTGCAGGCTGTGCCGTCGAGGCTTGTATGGCTACAAGTAATATGGGTACAGCTGCAGTGTGATTACTCAGGTGGTGAACTCGTGATGGTCAGAAAGTCGAGTGTAGAAGCCTGTACATTTGTGACCCTCAAGTAGGTTTTTCTACAGCAGCTATTTTAAGTGTTGTAAATGTCATTGGCAGACGTTCACATCATTATTAATCTAATAAGTAACAAGTGTTTACCCACTGTGTCAGGTTAAAAAGTTGTAAATGTTCAAAAATGTGGCAGCTAGCAGGACAAAATGCAGCATTAGTCATGCTGATAAGGAAAACGGCTAGCTGTTTTGTTTGTTTTTAAAAAATAAACCATGAAATGAAAGCGAATACACGGTGTATATAGTGTTAGTCATGCTTTTAGGCATTTTGCAGTTTATTTCAGTAGTTAGATTTTGCAAAACGGGATAAAAATGGCTATTTTCAAATGTCTAAATCATTGTCACATCACCTTTTCTCTTTTGCAATATGGATTAAAATCACAGATCCTCTGGGCCAGATTGCGTACTTCAGAATAGCTGAATAGGTGGCTCGCTTACACTATACCCATCTGGTCTGAGACAGGACACTCAGCCTATCCCAAAAAACAAATAACACCCAACATTCACACACACACTATGCCACCCAACACGCGGGTTCCAGGAAGCTCACATCAATACACACATGGTTACTGCAGTGAGAACCAGGCAGTATGCCATGTGAGATTTGCGTACTTGGAAGAACACGGATACACAGCACACACGCCACCCCGATACATTGTTTTGAACTGTGCACGTTCTTGCGGTTACCCTGACGTCTTTGATAAGTCAACTTGACAGTTGGAGGGATGCTCAATTCCGAACACACGAGAAAGGGTGGGGGGGAAGGAAAAAAGGAAGAGCTGGAGCAAAAAGGTGGTATGAGGAAGGGGGGGAAAGAAAAGTAAATGAACTTTGAGTTCAGTGTTTCCAGTTCTAATCCAGCTTCCCATATGGGCCAGTTCAGCGCTAGGTCTGAGCTGCTCTGGTTTCACCGAGCTTCTAGCCTCTTTTATTTATGCGGAAGACGCACACAGACATCTTTGATTTTAATTAATCGTTTCAGTATGGGGCTAGATTCTCATCCAGAAAGTGATCAGGTTATTCCAGCATCCTTTCAGTGTAAGCTCAAGGTAAACTCACAGGAATCTGAACTCATTCATGTTGACCTTGTACGGCTGCACACAGGGACACAGGGAGAGGGAAGCAGACATTGTTTGGTTTTATCAGGGTGTGCATGCAGAGCTGATAGCTAAAGTGCAGAATGCATGCCGTACTGAAGGGTGGGATAGTGTGAACTATAACGGGCGGGGGTCCTTCGTGTCTGCAAAAAGCTCTTTTGCCTGTTGAACAATAGTTTAAAACTAAAGAGCACTTAGCAGGATTTCAAACATGCATGCATCAACAAAGTGTGCTGGACCATTCTGTTGAATTCTTCTTCCTCTCTACTCCTCCCCTTGCAATGAAAGAAGCATAACCGCATTATCGCTAGATTAATAAAATAAGCTTTGTATGAGTCTGTGTAGTGCTGTGAGAATTATTTGGAAATAAGTGGACCCCCGAAAAAGCTAGTATTTGAAGAATTTTACAGCAGCTACTTTATACTAAAACATTTGGTGTGTTCCCATATTCATAAAAATCTTTTTTTTTTTTAAAGTCTATATCAGATTGTGATATTGGCACAAGAGATGTTGATAAATAATGCTAACTGGCCTCATTTCCTGAGTTCTGCTAAACAATTTCCATTATCATGCAAGTTTTCCATTTCAATGAGAGAGTAGGCTTCTTATCCAGCTCGGTCTGGGTGTAGCTGCTGCTGCTATTGACAGATGTTGGGAGCTGGATGAACGTGCCATTGTAAAGCTCTCTGATGTGTTCAGCCGGCGCCTTTGGTGCTAAACACAAGAGCTGAAGGAACATTCTACCACGCACGAGTTGGCCTATTATTTTTATGATATTCCTTTATGAAAAAAAACATTTTTCATTGTTTGTGTTTTGGCCGAATTCTTCATTTTCTATTAAATCGATATACTGAAAGATAAATGTTTCAACATGGGACTGGACTCAGAAGGACTGAAGATTCTGGACGGCAAAATTGTTAATTTAACTGTGGAAATGATCTCATCATCAAATGTATAAGAGATGATAGACAATAATGGGAAGCAGTTGTACATCTTTGTTTTTTTAAAGCATAAAAATCTAGATTTCAAAGAAAACTGATTCTAAAGAATTGCATAGCATCTTAATAACGATGACCAAAATCGATAGGCCTCACTTCTGTATTTAAAAACCTAGACGGGATTCATGCCAGTGATCAAAATCAGTCCTGAGATGTGTTTTCATGCTTGTGTTGAGATACTTTGGTTTTCTAAAATACATTACGTGTGTGGGTTTTTGTTTGTTTGTTGCTTTTCAGACACCTGTTTCTACCACAAAATATGCAAACCTAGTGAATTTCAAACCTGAAGTTTGGGTGCTGTGACTCTCGTTGTCTGGTTTCACAGACAATTTTGCCATTTTAAACAGTTAAAGCCTTTTTCTATGTGAAAATTGTTTAGGTCTAGGGTTTAACTTTACCTATTATATTGATCTAATTCTTGACCAGAACCTGACTGACATTTGTTCCTTGTTTTGGTAATTTATTGAAAAGAGTCAGTCTTCTGCTGAGTACTTGAATCACAAGGAGAATCCAAGCAGCTGACCTGATGTCTTCTTGTCTCCCTCTGTCTCTGTAGGTTACCTGATAATGACGGATGACTGGTTCTCTGAGTATGTTTACGAGGTGGTGGTAGACAAGAGGTTCCTGACCGATGATGTCCTGGAAGTGATGCAACAGGATCCCATCGTACTTCCTGCCTGGGACCCGATGGGATCCCTGGCATAGCTAGAGAAATCTAGGTTTTAGCCCCACCCTCTGGTCAATTTGACTCCGCCCTATTCCTCAGCTGCTTTTACCTCTCCAACATTTCCCCAACACCTCCTTCTAAAACGGCCTGTACTTCTAGAAAAAATAATAAAGATTTTGTTTTCTTTTTTACCAGACTGCCTTTTGTCTTTTGTCTATTTTTTCTTTCTTTCTCAGACTGCTGGAGGTTTATTCTGTTGCTTACACACTGCATGTATCTGCAATCTCAGCTCTGGACTTAATTAGTTGATTAGCTGCTGACAAATATTGTACATGGCCGTTAAGTTGTTTGAATGTTTTTAATTGAAGTTTATGTATTCCATTTTTGTGTGCATGTGTTTCACCAGGACAAAACAGCAGTTCATAGTTAAGTGCTGGAAGTAACACACTAGTAACGCAATCATATCATAACCTCCCGTCCCTGCAATCAGCGCAGTGTAAACCAGCCCCTGAATAGCAAACAGCAGTCCAGATTTTTTTTGGACAGCGACGCAGTTTTCAGATGCAGTTGAAGTTTGAGAGACTGAACAAAAATGTTGTATTAACCCTTTGAGAAGTACAGCCAACTCGATGTGAAATTCCTTTTTTTTTTTTTTTTTTTTAAGGGACAGAGAATTAACTGATAACCAAAAATGTTAATTTGTAACACTTGGAAACTCCTTTGCTGGAAGAAAAACCCACGGACATACCAAAAGAGCAGGTGTCCTCCTTTGCCATGCTTCACCAGGGCTTTGCTGCAGCCATCTGTAGAGGTGGGTAGATCAACGTCAACACCAGTATTGGTATAAGATCAATACAAGCAGGACAGACAATAGGAACCATGCTTTGTTTCTAAGTTCAGTATGTAGCCCACTGATTTGTGTTAAATAAATTAATTGTAGGAATGAAGAAACGTACCTCCAAACATGCACTGTGAAAAATGTCTGAAATGTTTTGTATTGACTGTCACGTCTATTTTATTTATAGCCTACAGCACATTTAAACAAAGTCAACACAAAGTACTTTAGAGGTGCATTTACGTTCCAGCTCTCCAAAAAACCCAGTTCAAAAATGCAATTAAATTTGAAAGCTGCATTTTGTTGTGTTAACTAATTATAGTGGAAAATAAAAATCCCAGTTATCCAGGAGTCATTAAAAGGTGCACAATAGCTACATTGATGATTAGTCATCTCATAAATCATGAAACGCCGTCCTCTCCCAAATAACCTGCTTTTATAAGTTAATAGCGTCTGTGTCTGGCCCTGTGTTTACTTGCCAGCTGAATGATGGGAAGATTTGCAGTATCGCACATCACTAGCTGTCTGCAGTTTGGGGTTTGTTTTTTTTGTTGGGGATTTTCTCCTTTTTTTGTTTTGCACAAAAAGCACTTTTGCTGATCTTTAGCCGCCTCCTTTCTTTTCCTTTTTTTTTTTTTTTTTCCTCTCCGCCAAGCTGGTGCTGGTTGAGCTTAGTTCCATGTGTCAAAACAGTGCTGTTCCACAGCTTTTCTGCAGGTTTGTTTCCTTTTGTTGCAATGCCTGTTGTGCCCTTTTTCTTCTTGAGGCTGATAGTTGATTTGCACTTTGTGCTGAACCATCTGTACCTGCTCTCATAAAATCTACCCTTTATGGCCAAACCTCCTTATTTGTTTATACATATATATCCAATTCACCAGTGTAGTTTATCCTTTAAAAAATGGTGGATTTGTTCCTGCTATCTTGTTTTGCTTTTTGCAACCTAAGGGTGGTGTGTTTCACTTCCACGTTGACCACATGTTGTGGGTTTACAGAATCGGCTTTTAGATGCCACACTGGAAATCAACTCTAGACTTTGTACCACATTTAATTTAATAAGAAATGACAAAAGAATAGCCAGTCCCAGTCCAAAAAATAGCTTTTGAGTTGATTGTCTGACTGCCTTTGGTCCCTTTAAAGGAGGCTGAAATATATTAAAGAGCTGTCCTTTCAAAAACTTACCTTCAATTTTACATGAGTAGCTTCAAACTGAAGCTCAGTGACTTAGTTACATAAAGAGCATAAATAAAAACTTGAGTATGTGGTAGTTAACAGCTGAAACAACCAAAAATGTCTGCATCCAAATAAATATGGACCCAGCTGTGACTGTGAATGTGTAATAATGATTTCCTATCATACCTTCTGTCTGTATCCACCCTGACTGCATATACATGTAAAAGTAAAAAAGCTAAGCTAGCAAAATGTATACTTATTCCCACACAGGATACTTGGGTTAAAGATCCACATAAAAATCCAGCCACTTCCTCTGTGCTCTCTGCTCTTCCTGCTTTAAAACACTCCTGTCAAGGTAAGGAGGACCTCTGACCTCCCAGCAGTTGGTGTGTCACAGGGGTTACTACTTGTTGTCCTCAGCAGTGTGGCTAAAGCTAAAAAACAAATCAACATCAATACCCTCCTGGTTCCTGAAAGACTCTTTTGGGTGTTTTTGAAAGAGAAGATTCTGAAATGAATTTCATTATGCAAAGCACTTCACTGCAATTGACGGCTATAGACGTCAATGGCAGTGAATGAGTTAACATCTGCATCATACTGTTAGCATGATGGTTATCCTCATCCAAGCAGAAAACTGAATTCAGAGTGCACTTCCTGAAGGAGATGTAGTAAAACAAATGTGTAATTTACACTGATTTGAGTCACCGTTTAAGTGGCACTGTAGAAAAACACCAGGCTCTAAGGAGCTTTATACACTTTGTGAGGAGAAGGGAAGATCTATAGCAATCCAAACCTTACTGAATATCGGCTCCTAAAATCAGAGCTTCAAAATAACATTTAACATGTTTTTCTTGTTTTTTATAAGATACCAAACACTTTCTATGATCCAGAATGTATATTTACTTGTATTTAGTTCTTGAAGTTCCAATGCAGAGGCATGCTGGATATTACTCTATATCTGCAGTTCTCAGACACTGGGCGATAATGTCTTATTTAGAAAACTGGTAATTGGGATGTGGTAATTGTGAAAAGTTTGCATCTGGATCAGGGTGATTTCATCCAGGATGAAAAGAAACCCCAAACTGCAGATAAGTAAGACGCATTAGCTAGTCTTAGATTGCACAATGTAGGATTTCCTAATCTAGATCACTGATAAACCAAACTGTTTGAACAACGGGTCCAAGGAAAAACTGCTGGGATGGAGAACACAGACTGACTGAAGGTGCGTAACTGGTACATGAGTGTATTTACTGTGATGCATGTCTGGGTCGGATGAAGCCTTTTATTTTTGCTGCAGGGTCAATAACTCTAGCTGTTGCCACTTCTGCATTTTTCCCTGTCACACTGCACTGCTCACTGGAGACAAATGAGCAGAAGAATAACAATCCTTGAAATATTCACACAAAGGTTAAGCATGAACTGTTACTCCTACATCCTCCCACCGATCAGTTTACATTTTTTTAATTTATTTTCACTTCTAATAGTTTTATTCCACCCACCCCTTGCCCCCCGCCCTGTCCTGTGTCTGGCACTCCATTTTTCTGGCCTTCACCTGCAGATTATATTTCTTTATAACTATTTCACTTCT